CCGTGCACACGTGGGAAACGACACTATAAAACGTTTAGGCCTACACCATCAACTCAGGCCTGCTGTGGGTCATGTAGAGATGCATTTCGCCATCAGTGTTTGTTTCATTTGCTTTTTTCTGCTTTCTTTTTCGTTTTCTTTTTGGGTAGGATTTAGTCAATAGTTGGACCACTGTTGTAACTGTTTTGTCTATGTCTCTAATAAAAGAACTTTTTAAAAAGTACTTTATAACTGAATGATATCTGATGCAGGGATTTATTATCCAGACTGTTATAAGTGGAACCCACTTCTAGTAAGATGTCTAATCTTCAGCATGGCACTGTGCTGCAAGTGCCATAACACTCTTTCTAAAACTGTATACTAAAGTCCCGAGGGGCATGGCTCAAAGGTTTAAAGACATTAGTAATGTAATATCCTTCTTCGACTTCTCTTGTTTCATGGTCGATACATGTTTCTGATTCTGAACCGGCTTGGTTTTTTCTGGTCTCATCTCATTTTGTCACATTTTTTATAGTATACATGAGTGGTCAGAAGGTGTCACTGAGTGATAGGTCGTATTCCTTCTCTTTACCTTTGTTGTTTCTGTCTTGCTTTTTTCTGTAGTTAAAAAGCCATTATCATGTTAATATATATGTTTCTCTTTACTCTTAAAGTTTTATATCCCATATTTTGTTCGTTCCAACAGGTTCAGAGAGTGGAACAAAGGAGACGAGAGTAAAACCTATAAATTTGCCGTTCCTACCTACCTCCTGACGAGTCAAAAGCCTACTCAGTGAAGACAAAATCAAGCAAAAGGTGGCAAAGAGGACTTTTCACCAGACATAATGTTTAAGATTCGAAAATAAAATTAATTACCTCATCCCCAGTGGGCCACGGAACACAAGTAGAGACCCATGGCCCATCGGCAAGAGATACATCACCTCGATGGGGAGAATAATAATACGTTTGTTAACATTTCACATTCATTTTTTCTGCTTTCTTTGTTTCCTTTTTTTTAATTACTTTACCACTAGGCCTTATGATCCACCTTTGAAATGACCCATCAATGTTAAGCTGGGTTTTGGAATAATGTTCACATCCTGCAAAAACAAACAATGAATCACATTTTATCATATTGAAACAAAGGGACTTGCTTAAACTTAAATATGTAATAGAATATGTTGGGTTTTTTTTCCCTTCTGAAGTGCAAGGGTTGCATTATGTGGACTGATCTCCGTGCCATTTTCATGTTTTGTATACAATAATTTTATATGGTCTTATTTTCCGCACTTTAGGTGCCATTTCATATAATTAGAGAGTTTATTGTAATACTGTTTTATTTTATGGGCAATCCAGTCAGGGTCCAATTTTTGTATTTTGTACAATTTAGTTTTCTGTAAGACATTAGACGTTTAGTGTTAATTATTTTGAAGTAATTTCTTGTCTTAATTTAATTCAGTTAATTGAAAATAACTCGTAGTAAAATGGAATCAAAGCTTATAATATACAGGACGTCCTTGCTTATTGCATCAAACTGAAGCTTACACATTGTGCACAGAAATCTCTAAATGAAGGAAAAAGACATGAGAGTAAACTCTTATTGACTGTGTGCCTTGCATTGTAACCAAACAGGTCTTCTCGAAAGTCAATTTGTAATCACCGCAATGATTTGATTTACTTTTTTAGTTTTAGTATTAGTTTCAAGACTGAGGTGAAGTAGAGACGAATCCATTCACCCTTCCACTTCCAGTCTATAATTTTTTTTTAAATGTAGCCTACCAATAGTGCAAGATCCTGAAACAGAAAACACAAATCCATTCATGTCTTATTCATGTTGTTTATGTTATAAGTGTACATATCACATTCAGAGAGAAGATTATTTGGAGAGAAAAAAGGTGCATTAATATAAAATAAACAGTCTTAAGAAATTTTAATTTGTATTCTTTAATCACTTTCTTACAGTTAATGTTTTCTTGTTTTTGCTCAATTTTTACTTTGGACTCTGACAGTAGGCCTATAACACGGATAGCTTGAATTCATCAGGACCGGCCTTGGTAGTTCGAGGGGTCTGTAGTTCGAGGGACATCTTACAAAGATAAAGAAAAAAAAGGGGGGACCAGAGGCAAAGTTCGACGGATGCATGATTTCGAGTCTTCTTTGTTCTACCTATCCGTGTTATACTGTCCACGCCGGCTTTAAGCACGGTCATTGGGAGAAAGCATTAAAGCGTACTTAATGCCAAAGCGTGCTTGAGTGCGAAGTAGATATAAATCAGAGATTTTCATGTAGAAAATTTCCTGTGCTATTTCCCTTTGTTTTTATAAGTAGGCCTATAGTGGTCCCACAAAAATGTGCACTGTTATATTTACCTGCCATAGTAGTAAGTAGTTTTCATTTTTTTATATTTTTTTTTTGTGGTCGAATGGGAAATGAAAACTTAATTTAGACGGCCAGTCTTGATACAGCACACAAGGCCTACACACTGCCTGTGGGTACCACTGCACGCTGTACCACATTCATACCACTGCCTTCATTCCCCCCCCCCACCCCCCACCCCTCAAATACACGGTCTTTGATCCCACCTCGCGCGTGATACCAAATTATATCAGGATTATCAGATAGCAAGGGGCAATAAGGTGAAATCGCAGCCTGCCTCCTTTTCTCCCGACTCTCTTTGTATTTTTTTCGTCTGTGTGTAGCTTTGCCCTAGGCCTAGGCTGGATCCTATGTCCATGCGCGCGGCTGTGTGCATCTCTCTGCATTCCTCTCCGCGCATATGTTTGTGTCCATCCTTTGTGTTCTTCGTGTTTCTCTTAACACATTCACTGCTGCGGTGTGGACTGTGTTCAAACTTTGATGGGTCATCATGAAAGTTTTGACTGTCTTGTAAATGAAATGTGCCCGAAGCTGAAGTTACCGTGCTTAAAGGCGTGTAATTTATATAGCAAAAATTTGGTAAGAGCCGTTTAGGGTGCTTGAGTCCTAAATGTGCTCTATGCCGGCGTACTTAAAGCCGGAACGGACTGTATAACCTGCTTATCCTGCATTGTGCTCATTTCTAATTTCTGTATAGTGCTGTGAATGTGAACTAAACTTTTCAGCCAGTCAAAGAAACAGTAACATATGCACGATTATTCTCAATAAAAATAAGGTGTTGGCAGAGCATTAGTTTGACGCTGAGCTATGATATAATGGATGACCCTGGATCGAATCCCCAATGGAGCATTCTCGAACTCGTGTTCGTGTTCAGTTAAGGAGTTTGCAAGCTTTCCTCACACAAGGCTTGTACAATTAACAGGGATTGATGTTAAATTTGGAAGTCCCACCTCTTAGACTTAGACAACTTGATAGTGGTTGGTTGGAGGGCGTCACTAGTAGGTCCTACTTCTGTACTTTCCCTCTGTTGTTTCTGTCTGTTCATCTTACTTTTTCCCAAGTCTAAATGACCATTTTTGTGTCGATGTGCTTCTCTTTACTCAAACAAACAAACCACTGCATCACTTTTCCCATGATTCTGTTACGTTCAGTTAGTGTGACTCAGCAGGCCGCTGGAGCTCCCTGGCTCGGGGTCATGGGGTTAATGAGCTCTGAAGCGACTTTGCCGGTGTTGGTTAAGAACTTCGCATTTTTGTCTACTTTTGAAACGATATAACTAATTTTTCCTCATTTCACACAGCAAAGCATTCAAATGATGTACTAAAAGCTCAATGTCTTGAGATTTATTCTGCGTTAGAATGGGTAATTTCTGTGCCTTAGTTTTTGTTCTAGACAAGTGTTTGTAGAGTACCCAATTTGTCCTATTTTAGTTAGGGCCTACATACTTATGGATAAATGATAGTTTATTTTAAAACGGCACGACAGATCTCTCCCAAATCTGTGTTTAACTGACTATGAATATCATGTCTTTTACCCTGAGAAATCTTAAATCTGCGCAAGTAGTAATAGTCAAGTTATAAAAGAAGAAAGGTGCACATCTGCATTAATTTTTTTAAACTAAAGACACTCAGCGTTAGCTCTTGTTTTACAATTAAAGCAAGAGAAAGTTTCTCTGCGTTTGTTCATGAATCATGCTGTGTCTGTGGCAGCCTGTATACAACTAAGAAAGATGTATTATGCGATTTAAAAAAAACACAAAACTGTGTTAATACATGGACAGGGATGAACTTCTTGTATGGAATAAAAATAATGACAGCTAACACATTCATTCTTAGTTTTTGTGTCGGACATCTGCGTGGACACTTATGAATGTAAAGAAATCAGAACATTGTCAGCTATTGCAAATGGTCATGGAAACGAAAATTAAAGCTGGAAAAGTCTTGTGCTGAATCAGTGTCACTGGAAAGCTAGAAATTATTCTTATAATATATCACAATTACGAGAAGTTATCCCTGTTATTCAGTCAAACTTACGAAACGTAGACTTAGCGTTGTAAGACAAATTTAAGGAATTTATGGAGTGTATCAGATATTGTTCGTGTATTACATTGTAGATGCGTTCTGGCAAAAGAAATTGGTTTGTACTTTTTCGTAGAGAGACTTCAGGGTAATTTTGATAAACTTTAGAGAAAATATGCGAATATTCACGATTCTATTAGACACAAAAAGTTTTATTAGGAGGAATTCCTTCATAGCGAATTGTGTGCCAGATGGATTAAGTAACAAAATTACTGCTGCCTATTATATGCTCAGATGCCATCTTTTCTGAGTATCTGCACCAATGTTTGTTATGTCATTCTTGTTCCAATTTTTATCGTGCTGGGTATTTTTTTATTTGATATTTTTTCATTCACACTTTTCCAAAAAAATTTGCAATTTAGCATTGCCGACTTCAGCGCGTCTAATGAAATAACCAGACAAGTTACAAAGTCTGTTCTATTTTGGGTCTCAAGAGCAAAAATGCGTGCTTTGGGAGCATTAAATGATAATTACAATAAATACAAGGATACACCTAAAACTACGTTGAAAAGTACCAAACATTAAGTCGGCCCAGACAGAGTGGCGACAGGGAGCTGACCCCTGTGACCCCGATGTGATAAGGCGCTGGACGGGGAACCCCCCACGGCAACTAAAATTCCACTGCCAGTGCACCATGAAGTAAACAAACAACATGGCAGCGTCGAACGGCACATTTGACTCATTCTGCACCGTACCATCAATCAGATGTTAGGAACATATTATCGTCCCTGGTTTTTTTTCATCCAGATGTGCCAACTGACTACTAAAAAAAAACCCTGAAATTGTCGGACCTCATGTAAAGGTGCACAGGGACTTACCATCACCTGATGCATCTAATCTCGTATCAAGACTATTTTTATATAAAGTGCAATATAGACCAAAATATATAAATATTTATACGTAGGAATGTGTATATTTAAAAGTTGAGCTTCAAAGTCTGTATTTCCATGTTATCTGGAAAATCAGCATCTCTGAATCATCAGCATAGCACCAGAGTGACAATGTAAGTAAATAAAAATGAGAAGAAAGCAGTCGTCTTTATGAAAACCATTTTCTATTGAAAAATGGTGATCAGTTTTAATGCATTATAATGGATTTGGGATATCATCAGCTCTCATTATGCATTTCATGAACAAGACTTGGTTAATTTGGTTATAAAGTTGCAAATCAGTTTCTCTCAAATTCTTTCATTCCATACCACTTCATGATTCATGGTGCATGTATGTAGCCTACTTGCAAAAGATTTCTGTATATTGCACATCTCATAAATTACATGCCTCTCAACATCAATAATAGCCTGACTGAAATCTTGATTGGGTAGATGTTTTACGGCACTATCGACACAATTTTGGTCATTTAAGCGCCATGACTGAAATCAACAAAAGCCCGAAACCAACAACTGCAGAAAAAAAAAGTTTCGAATCGCTTTCAAACTTGACAGTCAACACTCCTCCTGTGAATAAAATACATGTACAGTGTAGCCTCTCTATAATGACATCTTTGGGACCTGAAAAAAATATAGTTAAAAAGAGCTGTCGTTATAGAGAGGCAACCAAAAATATTACTAGTGATATAAATATATTTGTAAGGAAAAAATTGGGACCTGGGCACCATGTAGCTATACAGAGGATGTCGTTATATGGAAGGTCGTTATAGAGAGGCTGCACTGTATGTGTGTGTGAAACAAATGCAGCAGAAATCTCTATTACTCCTGTTCATTCGCAGATGTGCTTAGTTTTAGCCCGCAGATGTCTCGGTACAGAACATCAAAACTTGTGGCTTCATTTTGTGAAAAAAGTAAAAGAAGCTCCAGATGAGAATGCAGCCTTGGATAATCTGGAATAAGTCAATAAGTTTCACTGAACTAAAACCAACTACTTGCAAAAAAAATAATAACTAATTTCAGGCCATGATTAAACGACAAAAATCAATTTTCGGTACCACTTCTTTTTTTTAGCCAAACGGTCTTCTCAAAATAATGTCTTTAAAAAAGTAAATTTTAGGTAATTGTCTATTGTTTCTCAAGTATGAAAGAGGTCTTGAAACTTTGGCATCATTTTCTCAGAATGACTTCAGTGGGATTGTTGTTGTCTGAAAAAAAATTCACTTAAAACCCCCCCAACAAAAATCGAATTATAAAGGATCATATTTGAAATTTTAAAGTCTGATGATCTGCTATACTACTAATTCAGAAAATTCCCTTAGTATATTATTAGACAGTTGTTTTCCCAAGAGGTCTTTGGTTTTCCTATACTGCTACACACATATAATAATAATATAATACCGGTATACATGTATCATTTTTATATATATTCATCAGCAGCAGAATATAATTGCTCAGACAAACATGTCAACAGGAGGTGTTTTCCTTTCTTCCTCCTATCCAACATGTTGGGTTTTTTTCTCTCTCCTCCTTTTCTTTGCATATTACCTCCAGAAATATCAGTAATCTTTGAGACTTTTACATAATATGACCTATTACTATTTGTGTAACAAGTGCTGTTGTTGTTATCGATCCAGTAACAGTACTAACAGGTGGGCTCTCGCCCTTCTGTCCAATGCCATGTAGTGATAAGTGCAGGTTTGTTGCAGTTGCTGTAATGTTCTGTAGAGTGTGTTGTCAAAGTTAGGCCTCGGAGGGAGAAGTGTAGCTCTGATGTCATTTAGTGCAGTACAGTGGAAAAGGTGATGATCCACTGTCTCTATGTATAGTCTCTCAAAAGACTCTTTGGGGGAAGTTCTCGTTTTATTCTGTTCAAGTGAAAGTTGAGCTGCATATGTTCTGTTCGTAGGCAGAAGATCGTGGTCTGTTTCTTTCTGTGACAAGTGCTAAATTCTTAATAAAACTATTTTAAAAAAACCTCCTAAATTTAAACTAAACTTTTCAAAATCCTATATATACAAACAGAACAACCAGTACTCCTTGCTATTTTTATTCATTGATGGATGCTGCCTGGAAAAACGCATGTTCGTCTGTCTTCTGCCAGGACAAAGCCAGATGGACACGAGCACACGTAGGAGCCGTATGTGTTGGTGCAACTGTGTGTACAGTTGTGTTTGTCAGTGCGACATTCGTTCACGTCTGAGGGCAAGAAAAACCTGATAAGTTGTAAGTAAGTGTTTTACAGCGATCACAACTGCATAAGGTCATAAAAGTGCGGGACACACTAAACATTTTCAGTTTATGTAGGCCCTATATTACGGTATATTTGTTCCGCGTAATTTACAGATGAGCACAACCATGCTGCGCGTTTTAACGATCGTAGGATTGTATCATTCTTGTTTGCTCTTCTCATTTTCATATGTTAATTTTAAGTTTCATATTTTTTACACTTTTGAAAAAAAAAATAATAATAATTGAAAAAAAAAATATATATATAATATATATATATATATATATATATATATGTGTGTGTGTGTGTGTGTGTGTGTGTGTGTGTGTGTGTGTGTGTGTGTGTGTGTGTGTGTGTGTGTGTGTGTGTGTGTGTGTGTGTGTGTGTGTGTGTGTGTGAATATTCCTTGATGTGAGTAAAAGAATGAAGATGGAAGTGAATTTTTAAAAAATTATATAGAAAATATAGAATAAATTAAATGTACTTCGTGAACTTTGAGTTTGATATACCTGGCATTGCATCATTCTTGTGAGCTCTTCAGCTTCATTTTTAATTTTCATTTATTTTTTAAAATTTTTACACATTTGAAATATGTGTGAATGTTCCTTGATATGTGGGTAAAAGAATCGATGGCGAAGTGAATTTTTAAAAATTATTTCAAAAGTATAAAATATTAACGCAATCTTTAGATTGCCACGCAATTATACGATCGTTTGAACGCGAGGCATAATCTGATTGCGCCGATCTGTAAATAGCGCGGAACATATTCACCTCCCTCAAGTTCATGTTCACAGAGACGGGGCAAGACCTAAAATTTAAAATAAAGCCTAGTGGCAAAACAAGGAACCAATGCAATTCACATGAGAGCACTCCTCTGGATTGCTCCGGGACTCACATTTATATGGGCATAGAAGAATAGTGTTCTGATTACCACTGCTGGTGAACATCCTCTTATAGTAGATGTTTTACGGTGCCATAGACAGAGTAATAACCGTTATGTTACCAGCGAGATATTTAATGTACATGTATTGATAAAATATTTTTAAAGTGTTGGCTTCTTCTATTTTTTGTTTGAGGGTGCTTTACGCAATACAACATTGCAAATTTCAGGCAGCACAACGATCGTGCTCTACGGACGATCAACCTCGCGAGCAAGAGGCCCTACATAATGTTGGCTAGTAAGAAGTACACATGTAAAATATATATATTTAGCAATTGTCTCCCTTACACCTGAGCAAGAGATGGATTTATTTCCAAAAGTTAAAGTAACTTAAAGAATGTTGTTATTATATACAGCCTAGATACGTCATAACCTAGGCTATCTGAGTAACGTGTACTTTGTTGAGCTGTTCTCTAAAACATAGTGTGTGTATTTTTAAATATGAGAATGAAACCTGTAGAACTTTAAAATTGCTTGGAAGAAAGCGTATTTCAAAAGGCACTAGAAAGGAAAATAACTCATTACTTTAAATTAGGTATAAGTCTAAGGGAGGCAATTACTATTATTTTCTTGTTGCTAAAGTAATGACTACACTAACTGACCATAACTGTGTCTGTGTATACGGAAGCATCCCACAGTAAAATACATGCAATTTATTATCTGAAATAGCGCCAGATCAGGATAGAAATTTCAAATTTATTTGAGCAGATACTTTCAAAACTTGGAAATTTACTGCATAGAAAGACATAAGTAAAACGACTGTGAAATATAGCACATATAAAGAAATTGATAGATACTAGAGGTGTGCGAGTCCAGCATATTAAGATTCGGGTCCACACTCGAGTATCTGCTCTGGACTCGAGTTATTACTCGAGTAATTACTCGAGTCCCACGGCTCTTAAGACTCGAGTAATAACTCGAGTAATAGTATCCCGAAAGGGAATTTTAGTGGGTTTCAAAAAAAGTTTTGTTGAATATCGGACAGAAAATAGAGTGCCTTCCTAGGAGGGAGCTTGAGTAGGCTTATGGCAATTCTAGACACATGCTGTTTATACCGTATTTATTTTATTTTATCTTAGGAAGTGGCTATTCTCACCCCAGGTGAGAATAAAAATGTGATCGACCTCTCACCCCGGGTGAGACTTGCCAGCGTTGGCTATTCTCACCCGGTGTGAAACAAAACCGGTTTTTTCCTAATTTCTGAATACTTCCTATAGGGTAGGATGATTAAATAGACAAACCCCTTTTTAAAAAAATGATATTATAACACAAAAGTAAAATTAATTTGGCGGTCTACAAAGATGCTATGGCTATTTCACTTTTAGAATAGAGCCTAATCGGCATTTTGTTTTGCCCAGAAGTTCTCGCTATATCTAGGCTACTCCCCCCCCCCTCTCTCTCTCTCTCTCTCTCTCTCTCTCTCTCTCTCTCTCTCTCTCTCTCTCTCTCTCTCTCTCTCTCTCTCTCTCTCTCTCTCTCTCTCTCTCTCTCTCTTTCAATGCCCGCAGATAAAATTGCATGTTTTTAACACAAGAGAACTGGAACGTTTGTTTACACCACAGAATTCAATTTAAAAAAGTGTAGATCTAGAATTCTGTGGTTTACACTGGGTATCACGGTAAACGCACACAGGAAGAGAATAGCCAAAAGGCTCGCTCTCTCACCCCGGGTGAGTGAGAAGCTTACAACTGTATAACAACTAAGCTAGAATAGAGGTGGTCTTTATCTTATCTTTTCTTATTTTTTATTTTTTTTAAATAATTCTCTGTTACAACAGTAAGAATAAAATGTACACAGACTGTAAACCTCAGACAGTGCACTTCATAAAAAAAAGAATTTTGATTGGACATCGTGGGCTTTTAACAGTGGTTTGCTTTTTGCTTTTTTCTGGGGGGGGAGGTTCGTTTTTTACCTTTGGGGGAAGGGATTTTGTTGTTTTTGTTGTTTCTTTTCCTTCAGTTTAAAAAATTGCTTATTAGAATGTTTCTTTTATCTTTTTTTAACTTTAAAAAAACCCAAATTTTTCTCCTTTTTTCTGTTTTTTCCCCTACAGACTCGAGTCTGGACTCGAGTCCTTACTCGAGTCCCTACTCGAGTAATTTACTTGTGACTCGAGTCTGGACTCGCTGCATGTATTACTCGAGTACTCGAGTCTGGACTCGTTACTCGCACACCTCTACTCACAGCCGACCAGTACTTCGAACGTGCCCTTGTGGAGACGACTTCCATTTTTTTTTGTGTGTGTGTGTAGTAGTAGTAGTAGTAGTTGTAGTAGTGTGCTACTTGCTTTTCAAAGGGAAAAAAACAACATGTCACTGACTAGATAGAGTGTGTATGAAGAACTTGTGTGTCTTGTATTTGCATCATTTCGCAAACAGTTTGATAAAAAAACAACAACAATTAGATACCAAAATACGAAACAAAAAACAATTAGATACCACAAAAAAACCAGCAAAATAATAATCAGTTAAATAGATTAAATGATACAAGTGTGCCTATTTCGCCTCTAAAGCAAGTTCTTTGTCCAAATTAGCTTCCTTTTCTTTTCTGATAAAAAAATCTAAATAACTCGATCAAAACCAAATACATGTAGCAAAAGAGAGAAAAATGCTTTACAATATAATAATAATATAGCCTACTTTTACAATGAACATAATATTTTTAGTTTAAAAAGCCTGTCATTAGCCACATGATGGTCCTCGCGCTTCGTAAGGCATGTCAAACACCGTGCATTGCAGCAGCATATTATTTTAGCTCTCTCGCTGTACGATAAAAAAAAATGACGAACGGCGTGGCGTACGTCAGGTAGAATCTAGGTCACGAAGGGGCTAAATTGTGTGGATGAGGGCGTTTACAAAGCAAAAACTGAACTCTTTTGAAATGATGCAGTAATAATAATAATAATAATAGAATTCATTATAACTCTCTATCCAGCGCTTTACTCCAATCTCATGCATCATTGAATACAAGAGAAAATACTCTTCACAGAAACAAGGAAAACTAGTTCACCCATATAAAGAAGAACTTTCACAACCATACATTAATATAATATACAGAAATCTATACACGAAAGGACAGCAGTAAAAACTGAACATATATACGACTAACACACCATAACTAAGATAAATAAACAAATGAGTCTTGAGCATTCGCTTAAACATATCGAAATTTGTTATTACTCTAACATCCTGGGATCCAGAAAATAACTTACCGAAAGCTCTAAACAAAAATAATAGATTGTTTTCTTTCCAACAACGAAGTGACTATATTCGGGCTCGATTCCAATTAAACAAAAATTATATTCGGACTCTGAGTCGAGTCCAGCATGATGTCCTTTCCGACTTGCGACCCCTGTTCCTAAATATTTCCAGCAGTTATGAAACGTTTTTTTTACTATAATGATAACAATCGAGACGTGAGCTTTAATATCCAGTAACTAGATCTATCTAAACCCTGCCCTCATTAGTATGAACAGAACAACCAAGTAGAGTGGACCCACAGAATTCTACACGTGTAGAATTCTGTGAGTGGACCTTGCCGCGGGCAAAGTTAATTTAATTATGTTGACCAATGAGATTGCGCGTAGCGACCACGCACTCTCGGCTTGCTGGGGGAAGAGAAGTTGGGAAGAGGCCACGGCTGTCTATTTTGTGCGATATGATTTTAAAAAAAATTAATTACAGAAAAACTCACACAACAAAATGAAATTAAACATGTGGAAAGACTAAGAGTGGTGGAAATAATGATGATGCTGTAGTGGTGGTGGAAGTAATGATGATGCTGTAGTGGTGGTGGAAAGACCCTGAGTTGTCGGTTACCGTGTACACGTAGACACTGCCATTTGGCAACGAGAGTGTAGTCTTGACTTTTGACGCAATTACACAGTCCTAGTAGGTAATTCTAGTTCTAATTCTGGTTTTACGTAAAATCCCCCAATGACAGTTATATTATGTAACTTCCTTACTTTCATATAACTCATTTACAAGCCGAGTCCGAATAGAAAAGAACACTATT